ACTTTCTGTTGACGCTGTCATTACTGCCATTACTACGAGAGGCACCGAAAGCCCGAATAGTGACCGTTTCGGCCGCTCTTCACATTTACGGCAAAATACATTTCGAGAACATAAACCTACGGAACGGCGCCTACACTCCACTCCTCGGTTACACTCAAAGCAAATTGGCTAACATTTTGTTCACTCAAGAACTCGCCCGAAGACTCGGATCTAATAGCACTGTCACCGCCTATAGTCTACACCCGGGGGTCATAATGACTGAATTGCAGCGCAATTTGTCAAATATTTTGCGATACTTTCTCAGCTATTTTGTGGTCTCCACCGAAATGGGAGTCCAAACCACTCTGTATTGCGCCCTCGAAGATAACATTGAAAATGAATCAGGGTCTTATTATGAGTTAGTTGCCATCATCAAATACTTTCATTGCATTAATCTACACTATTTTACATTAATTAATCGCTTAAATCCCTATTTATAGTGACTGTCGACGTGTGAGTCGATTGATATCACAGGCAAATGATGTCGAATCGGCCAAAAAACTGTGGCAATTGAGCTGTGATTTAGTCAAACTCGAAGATAATCTCAGAATTGATTAAACTTTTTATTTTGTTTATTAAAATAATAAATTGTAAACATTTTTTGTTTATTGGATACTATTTTTAAACATCAATACATATTTTGTACATCAACTTCTCAAGTGTTAAATGTTATGATTAACATATAATTATAATTAATATAAAGTTTTGTAACTAAAAATTAAAGGATAGTCACTATCCGATAGTGTTATGAATAACTTATGAATGCATTAATAGTTTGGGTGCTTTGATATGAGAAAAACAATTCTTAATTCATCAAAAACTATTGCAAAACTACAGTTAATATATATCACATCTCAACAATGGATGCAAACATTGATTGCTAACTATATTATTATTACTGTATTATTAATGATTGATTTAATGCAAATTTGAATTGAAAATTGGTGTCATAATAAATATCCACACAAATTGTCTTTGGATATAACTTCAGACTTGTTTTCACATTACTTTGAGACGACAGTCGCCGAGAGAGTTGTCTCGTGAAGAGTACATTCGCTAATTTGCTTTGTCTGTAGGCTGTCATCGGGTCGTATGAGAGAGAGAGAGAGAGAGAGAGAGGCTGAGAGAGAAGTGAAACTGGTTTTCATATTCAATACATACCTATTATTCAATAGACTTTTCCATTTATTTGTTTCAAACAAACAAATTGTAAACACATTTCAAAAACAATGAATTTGTTTAATATATTAAATGACATTAGACTTAAAGTTTACATAATTTTTACAATTGTCGTTGAATTGTTTAAAAATGCATTAAATATTCGCCGAAAATGTGAATCCAATGCAAGACTTGATGGACGAGTAGTTGTGATAACCGGTGCCAACACTGGGATCGGCAAACAAACAGCACTCGAGCTCTCTCTTCGCGGACCTAAGGTTTGCCACAATTAACTGATTTTCAAATTAGATTTATTTTGAATTGTAATTCAAAGATAATCATCGGTTGTCGAGATGTGGAGAAAGGCGAGAGAGCCGTACAGGAGATCCAACTGAAGAATCCCAAAGCAAACATAGTTGTCATGAAATTGGATTTGGCATCACTTTCATCGGTCCGACACTTCGCCCAATCGGTGGCAAAACAGGAGACCAAAGTTGATATCCTTATAAACAACGCCGGAGTTATGAACTGTCCGGAGTGGACCACCGAAGACGGCTTTGAGATGCAGTTCGGGACCAATCATTTGGGTATAACTCGTGTCAAACCAAATGTTAGACCAAAGTTGATATCCTTATAAACAACGCCGGAGTTATGAACTGTCCGGAGTGGACCACCGAAGACGGCTTTGAGATGCAGTTCGGGACCAATCATTTGGGTATAACTCGTGTCAAACCAAATGTTACCCGAATTGTAATAAATAGCCCATAATTTTTAGGTCACTTTTTGCTGACGCTATCATTGATGCCATTAATCAAGAAGTCGTCGAAAGCGAGGATCATAACAGTCTCATCGATGGCCCACATGTTGGGAACCATTAACTTCGAGAATATCAATCTGCGAAACCAGGCCTACGACCCGATGATAGCCTACAGACAAAGCAAATTAGCGAATGTACTCTTCACGAGACAACTCTCTCGGCGACTGTCGTCTCAAAATAATATCAATTGCTATTGTCTTCATCCGGGAATCATTAAGACTGACTTATGGCGACACGGATCTGCCGGCGGTCTCCTCAAGAAATTTCTTCATTACTTATTGTTTATCGACGAACAACTCGGCGCTCAAACCACTCTCTACTGCACTCTTGATGAACGTCTGGACACCGAAACCGGATTTTATTATGAGTTAGCATTTGAGCCGTTAATCAAACAATTTGTGTTTTAATCATTTTATTATACATTTAGTGATTGCCTTCGAGTCGATGAGAAAGACATGGTTTTCAATGCAAAGGATGACTTGAGTGCCCAAATGCTATGGAAATTGAGCTCAGATTTGGTGAAACTTGAAGATCATCTCAAACTTTAATATTAAACTCATTTCAAAGACAAATACTTTAAAAGTATTAATGTTTTGATAATTGTATTAATGTTAATGCCGTATAAAAATTATTAATACATCATTAAAGTTTTGTACAATAAAAACTTATTGTGCATTATATGAGATTAATGGGACTTAAGACACGATTTCTGTTCAACAAAACGACAGTCCTTTAAATACACGGATATGGATGGGAGGGTTGGGGTCTACGGGTGGGCTCATTGTTTGTTTAATGCGAGAACACTATACTCGGTAAAATAAAAGTTGAATTTACATATGTTTGTATGTTATTCTGGTTAATAAAGTTGTATTAAATAAATCAAGATTGCAATATTTTTAAAAACATTTCAAAACATTTATTTATAAAAAATTAATTAAAAATTACATAAATAAATATATTTAGAATTTTTCGAGAAACTAAAATTAATCAATTTTTATAAAAAAAAAATTTAAGATAACTTGTGTTTGAATATAAACTTCACTAAAAAGTATATTTTAAAAATGTGTTTCAAATAATTTGGGCGAAACATAGGAAACACTGCCGGCATTCAGTCGACATTCTTTGCGAAAAAGTGGTCCAAAAGCAAAATCAGACCTCAATTTATAATAAAATTTTCGATAAAAACAAACTATTATGCAATGAATGAGTAAAAGGAGTCGATTGACAGCCAAAAAATCAGGTCGTTTTCACTATTGGTTCGACTCTATTATGAATTACAAGCAGTCGGTGGAGTCGTTCCCTGCAAATATACAAATCAAATGCAATTTAGTTTACTATACATTCAGTTAATGAACAATTCACTGCATTTCATACCTGAAATTTATCACAAATCAATGTTTTCAAGTCTCCATAAAGTGCGATATTCTGATCGGTTTCTGTGAAGTTCTGTTTAAAATTTTTAACAAATTCAAAGTTTTAATAATTGTTGTCAATTAGTAAATAGCAAATATTAGTAAACTCACCCCGTTGATGAGTACCCAGGGCACAAAAGTGAGCTTTGGTGAAAGACGTTGAGTTTTCTCGCCGTTCTTGATGTGCAATCTCTTCCCCTCAAGACTTGACGAACAGCTTTGGATTTGTGTGTAATTTATGCCGTGATTTA